CCGCCACTGCGTCTTGTACACCCCCGCGTTGACAACCTGTTGGGGGCGGGTGGAGGGTGACGAGGGGAGGGGGTCCACCAGGACAAGCACGGCCACCACTCTGAGCAGGATGTGCATGACCGTGAGTTGAGTGTCCAGGTGCAAACATCAAGAGCGACCCCCCAACTCCAGAGTCCAGGCCGAAACCACCCCTGATTCTCCCACCAGCAGGTCGATCTGCTGGTCAAAGCGCTCTGCCACGGCCGCTGCCAGCTGCTGCCTGCTGAGGGGGCTGGTCGCATCATACTGCAGCAACTCCACCTGGCGGGGAACAGTGACAGCCAGAGAGCGCGTGTGTCAACGTGCGCACGTGTGGTGGCAGGGGTGTGACACCTCACCCAATCTTTCTTGGGGAGGCATGCTGGCTTCACCTTGGCGCCCGGCCGCTCCAGTCTGAGCCCGTCCACGGCGTTTGCCCCAGCTGACAGGTCGCGCCCAGTCACAATCACGGGCTTGCCGCGGGCCACGAGCTGCTGACACACCGCGAGCCCAAGACCACGGTTGGCTGCGTTGTGGGGCCATTTAAATGGGGGGCTTTGGCTTGCGCGGCAGGCCCTGTAGGTTGCAGGCCATCTCCAGCGGCGCCGCATGCATGCCGGTGAAATGGGACCAGTCACTGTCATGCAGTCACTGTGCACTTACCTCCGGTGACAAGCGCCCATTTCATTGTTCCAATGGAGGGGCGAGCACGCTACCTGATCGCGATGTTGAGAGGACTTTGCGCGGTGCAGATCTCGATCAAGCCGGCTTTGTCGCAGAGATAGAATCATATCCTGTGAGGAGTTTTCAGTCAGTCGAAACGTGCCTTGTCTGGATTGTGGCGGCATTCCAACTGCAGCCATGCCCGCGTTGACTGCTGTGCAGCTCAGCAGCATGGCGCTCTGTCATAATCCGTGTGGGGGTCGCAGCGGTTGTGTGGCGAGATTAAGCTTGCAGACCCGATGATCGCCGTATGCTCTGCATGATCTTGAATGTGCTGATCACTGTGGTGGACAACCCGGTGGCGCCAGCGGCCCCTGGAATCAAGTGCGATCGGGCCCAGACGGCAAGCTTGAGCTTCACGTCTGACGCCTGCACGGGCGCTCAAGCATTGAAAGTGGCACCTTTATGGGGGTCCTCTGGGGTCGTGGAAGGGTACTTGGGGTTGCGGGGAGGTGGCAGCGGATCAGTCCATTCTGGCAGGCAAGTCAACCCCAGTGTTGGATGCGGGGGCAGCGTGGGATCAAGGGACGGATCCTTCAGCTGCCCCAGCATCGTGCGCGCACATGTGACAGTATAGAAAACTCACCTCTTCAGCCCCGCTGGAGCGCAAGGCGCACCCGGCATGGGCGAGGCGCTCCATCAACGAAGATATCGAACGCTCTCGGCACCTGTGCAGGTTTGCGCACCGCTTCGACGTGCGCCCTGCTTCCTGCTGCAGTGACACAACCTTCAGCAAGGTTGACTATACCCTATTTCAATCGTCCCTGCGCAACGCGCTCCGCTCCATTGCCCTGCCTCTCTCAGGTCGAAAACTCACATCCAGCGTTGGTGGCCGCGCAGCCGGCCATAGTGCCTGGCGACGCTAAGTTCTTGCTATAAAGTGCAAATATAACGTGCAGACATGCTCGGTCGGCAAGTGCGGTGTGTGGGTCGGCATCCCCGTCTGCCGTCCCGCAATTGCTCAGTGGTGGCCAGAAGGCGCGCGGCAATATGCAAAGCTGTGATGGAGACCGCAACGGCGACGGTCGAGGGGGAGCTCGGCTGGGGCACAGGTGGGCAAGATGCACCGACGGATGGGTTGGACTCGCTGCACCCCGCGCGTTCTCCTGATTGGCGCTGCATCTGTCGTTTTAGGCGGTATAGAACGCAATTGTCACCCGCCAACGGCTCCTCTGTGAGCGCGCTGTGCCCGCGCTCGGCGGTCGCACCCCGCCGCCGAGCAGAGCGCCTGCGCTCTGCACCAACTGCTGATGCACTTGATGCACCCCGCGCTGCAGACTTTAAGCAGAGGTTTAAGATGGGAAAAATTATTGGCATAGGCTTTTTTGGCCGCGTGTACATCGGCTCAGAGATCGCCACAGGCCGAGAGGTGGGGCGTTTGGGGAGAGGTGATGGGGGTCAGCCGACTGCAGCGAGGCGAGCACTGCCGTCGTGACTGGCGCACCGCACCAGGGTCCGCAACAGGGGCCACTGCAAGCTGCCTGGCACCTGGCTGCTGGCAGCTGCTTGTGGGAGGCAGCAGCAGTTGACTGCCATGCCCAGCGCATGCCACCAGCAGCCCGCGACAGCTCGCTGGCCGCTTGGCAGCGACCATCGGTTGCGCCTCGAGATCCCCAGTCACGGGGACGGGTGGCGCTATTGATGGGCACTTGATTGTCATAACACGACCACGCGCATCGCGCTGCCAAGTTGTCTCTGCCATCTGGCGCCGACTTGCCGAGGCACGCAGCACATTCCCCATCAACCACGCCACACATGCCTGACCTCTGCCGCCCCCCCCCTGTCACCCGCCCAGGTGGCGATCAAGGTGATGCCCAAGCAGCGCGGCAAGCTGACGCGCGAGCGCACCCTGGAGAAGCTCCTGCTGGAGGTTGAGTCGCTGCGCACACTGCAGGTGGGGGGCCTGGCGGGGCGGGCTGGGGGGTCATGTGGAAGGAATGGTGAGGGGGTTCACGATGACAGGATGACCACAGCCTCGAGCTGTGCATGGGCTCGCTGCGCAGGAGGGTGACCACCTTGGGTGCGCGCCTCGTGCCGCTCGTTGGGGCCTGACGCCGTCGCGCGCGCCGGCCGCCGCTCCCAGTCAACGCCCAATGCCGTGCGCCTGCTGGGAGTATTTGAGGACGAGGAGGAGGTCCAGATGGTGACAGAGCTCTGCGCGGGGGGAGATCTTGAGCAGCTCAGCGAGGTGCGGGGTGGGTGGGGGGGAGCGGAGACAGCAAGTTGATCGCACGCACTTGTCTGTCACTTCGCATGTGTACATGTGTGTGTGCATGCATCCATGTGTGTGTCCGTGTCCGTGTGCGTGCCCGTGTGCGTGTGCGTGTGCGTGCAAGTGCAAGTGTGCACATGACCATGTGAGCTTGCGCGTTCGCTAGTGTGAGTATGGACCTTGGTAGTGTTCAATTGTATGATCATGAGGGGCATAGGTTTCTAGTGTGTGGTTGTCAAGGGGATGTGAGGGTGCCATCAACTGTTGGCGGGGGCTTGTAGTGCTGATGAACCCCGGACGTCTGACACACTGTTTGTATCTGGGGCCCAAGGCACCGATGGGAGCTCGTGTAGGGTAGTGCTCCAAAATGGTGGTGCATCGCCTCTTGGCCTCGCACCAGCTGAACGAGCCCGCCCTGGCTGCTCCGCCCGACCCCGCAGCAAGTGGGCAACCTGCCGGAGCGTGCCGTGGCGCTCATCGCGTACGAGGTGCTCAAGATTGTCGACGCCTGCCACGAGGCCCACATCTTGCACGGCGACATCAAGGTGGGCCGACACAGGGCCCTGGGGGCGGGGACGGGGTGTGCGTGAGGGGCAAGCTGACGCGGCGGCCGGCTTGGCGTGAGCGCGCGGTCTGGCTTGCCGGTGGTGCTTTGGGTGGCCGCAAACGGCTCATGTTGTCACAGACGGCGGTACCCTAGGAGGGGGGGTTAAAAGCGTCAAAAACCGCATCAACTCTGCCGCAGCGGCGCCGTCAGCACCCCTCCTGCTTGCCTGACCCCCCCC